GTCGAAATGCTTAATTGGAGTGTATCACTGAAACTGGCTGTTCCCTCATCGAGGGCTGATTGGGTCAGATCACTGAAGCTCGCCGTTCCCGCCTCCAGCGGGGAAACTTAGTTAGACTGTTTCTTTGGAACTCTCTCTTCCGCACGGCTGCCTTCTCTTCCCATATGGAGAGGGTTGTGATCGCCTAGCCCGACTTCCTCTGCCCCCGGCTGTTCTCACTGCTCCTCACCATCTCCCGCAAGCGAACAATCACCCACACAAGCTCATCCACCTCGTGGATTCCCACTCCCCTCGCTCACGTAGAGTAACCGTCCAGAGCGGACACTTCTGCCCCGATGTCGGACGCAGGTACACCTTGCTCGCATTCTTGGGCCCCCCCCCAGCGCCGTCTACCCTGACTCTTATCTCTTGCCACACTATTCCCCGCTTAGCATCCAATCTTCGATAGATCATCACCCACACGTACGAAACGTGCACCATGCCYAGTGAGCTCTACCACTGTGGACGCCGTGCACGCTAGTCCACGCTCCTTCCAATCCCCCCCTGTTGTCTCGCCCCCTGGCTCTTCTATCTCCGCGGCCTTAACTGCAGGTACCAGTAAGGCTCACTGCCCTCCTGACTCTCCAGTACCCAGCTCGAGACGGAATGGTGCCATTGGTTCCAGCGGTACAAGGCCTACGGGTCCGGTGTACCTGTCTCCAGCAGCAGTAATCCCGTTGGTACCGCAGTCTTGACCCGGTAGTCTGGGATCAGAGCCCAGCGGTTCCATGAGTACCAGATCAACGCCAAGGTCGAACCACCGTCCATATCAAAACAAAAGAGGCAGACTGGAACACACCCCCCCCGGGGCCGCGTCGTGCCGTCGTCAATTCAGTGTTTGTGGCCAGGAATAAGTGTGCCAGAATCGTGAAAACTCACACCGTGTCAACCTTGTAGCGTTAAATTGTGGCCTGTACCATCACCATACCTGGGCCGTACCTGTCCCARCAGTCTTACCAATTCCGAACCTGCAAACAAGAACCAGTCTGCAATGCCATGCCAGTCCGAACTAGCGGTCATTCCGGCCGTCTCGACAACGAATAGAAGCAGCCCGTACCGACACCGTCCCAGTGAAAGTACTAAGCCAACTCCGAAACAGCAACCATGGTCACTGAATATAGCGCCCTGCCGGCTACGGCCCATGTCAATACCAAGCAGAACGTGCCGAACCTGAATTGCCACCCTGAATTTCAACAGCCTGTGCCGTCGTCACACCAGTCCGATGCCGAATACCGTTTTGTGGATAATGTCTCGTCACTGCACCGAACCTTCCCTTTTATTCTGCTTCCTGAAATGACTTGCAAGTGGGTCGTGAAGGCACACGGGGATGCCGAACTCGTATAACCGTGCCATGTTAATTACGTACCTGTCCCGAACCTGATATAGAATGCCGCTACGTTTCCGGAGCTGAAAACTAATTGCCGCCAAGGTTCCAAACCTGGAATAACTGTCGTAGTGGCCCCCGGCCCTGGAAGTGAATCACCGAAGTTGTCCCGAACCTGAAAATAAGTCACCGTAGTGAGACAGCTGTTACCGGGCCCATACCGTTACCTGAAGCACATCAGGCACCGTAGGACGCAGCCACTCCGTAACAACCCTCGTATCCGTACCGAACCAAACACCATAGTCGACCCAAGGCAGCACCACCCCATGCTGTCCATGCGACTCCTGCTCTCAKAATATCTCAACCGCGGTAATGTTAGTAATCAAGCAAACCAGGGAAAGCGATGCAGCGAACCTTGACCATCGGCAGCAGTGAAAACTGTTAAAATCCGGGAAAAATGTTCAATCCGGACTCTGAGCTGATGGCGGGTAATCGAGCCGAAATTAGGCCGATCTCCCAATAGTCATGGGTTTCCGTCCCCTTTCATCGTTTTTAATCGTTCTTCGTTTTCCTCAATTCTATTGTCTGAAACAGTAAATTAACCGTAAATTCCCCAAAATTAAATTCCGAGAGAGTTTGGATAAATTGCCGAATTCCTTTTGTCTCTTTTCTCTTTTATCATTTTTAATCTTTTCCCATGTTTTTAATTTCATTGTCGATTACATAAAATAACAAGGGTTTCCCTCCTAGAATTAAATGCCGTGAAAAATAAAGAAATAAGGAATATTATGTTTTTCTCTTCTCCCTTACTGGTCTTAATCCCTCTTCCCCATCTTTAATTATGGTACTAAAATAGACAAAAATTTAAGGCCTCATCACAGCCCCGCTCGTATGCGGCAGAAACGTTGTGGCGAGGTCAGTTCCCCCGATGCCTCCCCGCGGCAGACCATTTCGGGTCTAGCCCTCTGAACGGCCAGAAATGACAGTCCCTAGACATGTCGAGTGCGGCCACCCGTCTCGCCATCTTTGAGGATTACTCGCAAGGCTCAGTGCGCCCAAAATCAGGGGTGCCCTGAGTTCCCTTAATTTTTGCTGCCTGGTCATATGAGAGTACCATCAATTCACGGACTTGTCCCGGAGCCTAAGTTCCAAGACTGCCACTTTCAGGCGGCGCACTACTTGTGGCCGCCTGACAACGTCATGACGCAAATCTTTGCCGAAATCGGAGCACCGGCAATTGATCTCTTCGCATCCGATTATCACCACGTATACCCTTCTTTTGTATCGAGATTCTGGTCAACTAAGGCTTCCCAGATAGACGCCCTTTCCCTCGACTGGTCCACCCTCCCCGCCTCACCATATCGTTGGCTTTTTCCACCAACATCTCTTATCCACCAAGCTCTCACCAGAGCCATATCATGTCCAGCATCTTACCTTCTCATCCTCCCCTCATCTCAGCGTACCTCATGGTACCCCCGTATCCTCTCCCTCTCTATCTCCCGCCGCTTCACTATCCCCGACTCCAAATTCTCTTGCCTCCCTAGCCCCAGGGTCAACCTCAACACCCTCAACCCCGCTGTCCTCGGCCTCACAGCCATCTTCTTTCGCACTTGATTCTCCGACCCGCCGCCTCTTCCATCCTCGCCGCATTCCATAACCATACCTCATAAACGTCCCAACACTACTCCACGTCCCCTGCCGCATCATCTCACAAAGACTCCAACCCTCCTCTATGCCTGCCTGAACTCCGCCTATTCGAAAGCTATGCCCACTCTCCCCTGCAAACACCCCCGCCTCAACATACCACTTCTCGATTCGTTTATTAAAAGCACCACCACTCATGGCACCACTTCCCCACATCGGACGAAACAAGAATCCCTGCTTTATGTCCTGTCCCACCTGCTCGTAGCTACTTACCATTTCTGGAAGCCATCCCAAGAATGTCTCCTCCTCACCCCCCGCATCTCGTAACCTTATCATGAATCTCCCACCATGACGATCTGTCTTTGTATAACCAGGACGCACGATCTTCTTCTCTAAATCTATTTCCTTGTACTGCAGACGTAATCCCTCCCCGCATCGCTGCCAACTCTCCCATAAATACAGGAACGCACCGCCATCCCGATGTGCCTGAGCTTCGTGATGACCCTTCAACACTTTCACCTTATCCCTAATAAACCTCATAACCCTCTCCAGTTTCATCCATGTCAATGCCACTGCAGATTCTTCAACCACCCCCCTCTGCAACGAGTACTCCCTATACGCTTTCCGGAAAGATCGTACCCGGCTGCTCTGACATGGATCTCCTTCTCCGTCCCTTCCAAGGAGGCGAAAGCAGGCGCTCAAGCAATTCAGTGCAGCATCAACTGTCGAAGGAGAAACAAGTGGCAAAGCTGCGGCATCCGAAGTCCGGCATCGGCTCTCCACTTCAACAAGCCATTGGCTGCTAACGAAGGACAGGACGTCAAGATCATTGCATTGCATGCAGTCTCTGCCAACATTGTTCCGCTCCAGCCATTCATTCAAGGCAAGAAGATGGCTTGTTCAGAGGTTTTCTCATTCCACCTCGCCATCTCCTTCCAGCACCGTACTCTCCTACCAAGGCGCTGCTCCACTCAAGCCCAACTTCATATCCGCCTTCAAACTCTGGGGTGTCCCTCTTTTGCCGCCATCCGCCATCGCTCAGCCGTTCGTTCCACCATTCCCTGCAAGACGACCATGTCACTTGCGGGACGCTGGGGGAGTTGGGTGGTCTAGGAGGTGTGCGGGCCTGCGGCCCACCTTTCCGACTCACCTCTGAGCTGTCTGCCTTCATCAGAGGTACACATTCCTCTTATTTATCTGGAACAGACCTCTGTAATATTTGAATATATATATCGTCACAAACAGAACTGCCCGGTAAAACCGTAGGCAGAGAGAGAGAAGAGGACAACAAACGAGGGGCTGTGACAAACTGTTTC